GAGCTGAATGAAAACTAGAGGAGGAACCAGATTTTCAGCACATTTAATGAATACAGATAGTCCTCAACGTACGACTGGAATTGAGCCCAATCTTTTGGTGCTAAGTGAGACATTTGTTAAATGAATTTTGCCCCATTTTGCAATATTTCTTGCCACAGTTGTTAAGTGAATCACTGCAGTTGTTAAGTTAGTGACATGGTTATTAATGGCTTCCCCATTGACCCTGCTTGTCAGAAAGCGGCCAAAGGTGTTTATATCACCCCAAAACACTGCAACCGTCATAAATGTTATGTTATGTCGGTTATCAAGCATCTGATCCTATGACCATGGGAATGCTGCAATGGTCGTAAGTGTGAAAAATGGTCATAAGTCACTTTTTTCAGTGATATCGTAACTTTGAATATCACTAAATGAACTGTTGTAAGTCGAGGGCTACCTATAATTCTCACTTTTTTCTCTGTGGCAAGTAGGTGGAACGGAACTATAATAATTACAATTTAAGAAATAAGTCCACAAAAATTTCTTGATAGATGAATTTTGAAAATTCTCAATCTCCATCATTCCTTTTAAAAATACATATTCACTCTGATTTAAGAAAGACAAACTTTAGTAAATAACGCAAAAATATGAGAAGAAATTAAGAATCCTGGCTGTTTCTATTGTGAGAATTTTTTTTTTCAGAGATGGTTAAATTTGACATGTTTCTGCTCTTGTTTCATAAGCGGAATGACATTTTGCAAATCTGAACTGTTCTGCTTTTCGCTTATTAAATCAAAAAACAAACAAGCAGATCCTGCTTTTTCTTTTTTTAATGGGCTAATTCCTGCAAAGAAAAAAACAGTTCACCCTTCTCCCATAAGAAACAAATTAAAGTAATACAATTAAAGTAGTTGTAGCGAATTAGAAGGGCTTCAAACATTATATAGTGATAAACTGCTAATGGGGATGCATGTCCCTTAATTAACAAGGAGCATCACATTATTCTTAAATGTCTGGTTGCAGAATTGCCTCGTAAATTGGCTTGTTAAACACGGGACACCTTTACATTAGGGATTTGCATGCAGTTTACAAGTAGAATTGCTGTCAGTTTAAGGTAAGGCATTGCTGGGAAGAGTGTTCTCTTCTATCTCCACCATGCAATTTTCTTCTTCATTTTCTGAGTGCTTCAAAAGAGTAGGGCATCATTAAAAACTGGGATTCCTCTGTGGCTTGAAAAATTCTCTCTCTCTCTCTCTCTCTCTCTCTGTATGAGAGAGAGAGAGAGAGAGAAAGAGAAAGAGAGAGCGCCTTGTTAAAAACAGAATGCAGAATAAGTTCATGTCAACACAGTGAAAGAAGCAGCTAATTTTGTATCTGTAACACAGATACACAGTATTTACCCACATTGTCCAAAATTGCATAATTGGGAAATGGTAATGGATTTCTCTCCTTCTAAAATAGTAATTAAAAGTCAGCATTGTGTGTATATGTGTGCAAAATGATAATGTTCAGAATTTAGATGACATTTTCTGATGAATTGTTAACATTCTAAGAGGAAACATGTCAAGCCACTCTTAAAATTGCCAATAAATCCAGCATCTTCATGTAGTCCTATGCATATTTTTCAAAAGAAATAACTTATGTTTTTTGGGGTGGTGGTGGATGGGGGGGACTTAGAGTAAGCGTATTAAGGACTGAATCTATTATGCCTTCATTTCTTTGGTTTTCTACATTTTAGGGCTATGCAAGCACATTGGATTCAAAGACGGATAAGTGCTTCAGGAATGTCTGCTATTTCTTAAAGCAGTTGTGTATTTTTTGGAAATATGTAGTTGCTCCTTGTAGAAGCAGCAGCAGCAGCAGCATGATCTCAGGACAGCACAGATTTTGTTTACATTATTGCAAACAAATGCCGTCTTTTTTGCTTTTGAATCTGAAGTGTCACATAGCTCTGTAACATTTTTTTCCTAGCAGATATTAAGTCTGATTATCCCAAATTTGTGGCTGAGCTTTGCTGCTAATCATTGTCAAAATCCACAAAGTCCCTGGCATCCATTCACTTTTTTATTTTTACAAATTACAAAAGTAAAAAATAGTGTATATCAAAAATCTGTGTTTGTTTATCCAAATGTAATTATCGTAATACTTAATTGAACAGATCACTTTTGTAAACATGATTTATGGTTCTCTGTGTGTGTTTTCCTGCTTCTGTAATATAAGCACTATAACCTCTTTTTTAGTTTAACTACTGCTATACCAGCTCAGATTCTGTCAAGCTTCAAATTTCCATTTCAGTTACTTGACAATGGCAATTGTCAATAAAACATCAATCCATTCCATACGTTTACTTTTAATGTTCCATTTTCAAAATGAATGAATTAACCCCACAATTTCAGCATGGTACTCAGGAACAGCAAAAGTGCCTGCTTGCCAACATATTTCTTTAGTTGCTGACAAAGTTCCTATCTATAAAGGTTGTATCTGGTGAAGTGGGATTTTTTTTAAAAAAAATCTGTCCACAAGTATAAAATTCTTTTTCTATAAGGTATATTTTGAATCATGTATAAAATAAACAAAAAATGTGAAACATCTGAATTCTGGTATTTTTGTAATATATTCTGTCCTTTACTTTAATTAAGTTTGAAGTTGTTTCCTGTGTCTTCCATTACCCATTATTGCTGTTTTGTTATTTGGCTTATTGGTATATTGGAATAAATCACAAATTATTCAGAATCTAGTTGATATATTATTTAAAGTGGTGTTCACAAAAATTCTGGGGTTTTGTATCAAAAGTAGAAATAGGATGTCATTTTATGGATTTAGATAGTGGGAAATTTTGGAAGGGCCATCATGTTTCCTTAGAGTGGGTTTTTGATTTGCAAGAAAAGAGAGGACGCTCCTTGGTTGATTAATTAACTTGTAACTATCAGATTTTTGAAGGATTGAGAAATGGATCATTTAAAAAATGTTTCATCTTTTCCTATATGAAAATTATTTGTTCCAATTTAAAAGTCCTCCAGAATTTATGACAATATATATTTTGATTCTGATATTGTTGGAAAGGATGAAACAGTTGTGTTTCTCCAGTAAGCTATAGGGATTTATTTCCACTTATGAATACTGTAATGTATTTGTGAGGGAGTTGTGACACCATAAGTAGAATACTTGCCATGTAGTCTTAGGCTCGGCCTCACAGTGGAAGACTCTTTTAAGCTATATTGGCCATTAGTTATGTCCAGAAAAATGGTGTAAGATAACGAGCATCTTTATATGAAATCAGCTGAGATGGTACTTTCCATCCTTGTAGTAATTCTTCAAATTCTTAATTTCTTTTCTAAACACCAGTTCAATTTGATGTAACAGACAAAAGGAGAAATTCCACCCCAAAGTATAAGTGCTTTCTACTGTTGTAGTCATTAGGATAGAGATTGATAGTCCTTTTAGAACAACAGACATGTTTGGAATTTAGAGAACTGTTGAATGCTCAAAAAATGGCTGCCACGAGTAGGATGTCTTTATTCACCAAATGGCTGCCTAATTAACAAACACCCATTTATCAGAACTGGGAAGTCTTGTTTCTTCCTCTCTCTCCTGTTATTAATTCAGTGAAAATCTCTTTGCCACCCCAAATTATATTTTTTTTCTGGGTAGGAAAATTATTCTTTCCAGCATCCACCGTTTTCATTTTTTAAACAACAACTAGGAGGGTAGGTAGGACCGAGAAAAATATTAGAGGGGGGAGGGAAGGGGGAGAAAGGGAGGGATCTCCAATGTTCAAAAAATACATTTTGTCATATTAATGTCATTGTTGAATTTGAAATTCTATGATCACCTGTTTTTTAAAACTTTCAGACTTATTTATTTTTTCACATTTTCATGTATTTCTTGACTTAGTGTCAATGTTTTCAAATATAGTATGGTATGATTTATATGCTATTTAAAATTAAACTATTTCATGGTTTTTTCAATCTTAAAAAATAGTACACAAAAAAGGCCTTGAGATTAAAAAACAGAGGAAAACTGTTTTCTGATGGGTTTCCCCCCCCCCCCCGTTTTTTAGGGAAGGAAGATAGAATTCTACCTCTCCATCCATAGCTTTTGCAAGATACGCTTTTTACAATTTTCTTTCTGTTACTATCGCATCTTCTATTTCGTTAATAAGTCAAAGTTTGAATGATTTCCCCCCCCAGTATATTGGATTATTGCTTTACTTGTAATTTTGTGATTTTTTTTCTGCTGCCGGGCACATTTCTTTCTTTTTAAAAATGTATATTTTATTGATTAATTTTAATATTTATTCTGAAGGCCTTTGGGTAGAAAATTGACCTAAAATGCTAATATAAATAAAACAACATTGCTTCTGAAATTGTGGGGAATTGCAAAATCAGGTTACTGTATTGATGTGCGAACTTGCTTTAAAAAAAGGGTCAGACTTTCTATTGATAATCATTGATTTCAAGAAACTGAACTAAAATATAATGTACAGTATGAAATGTACAATTAACAATGACAAATATCTGTCTGTAGGCTTATAATCCTAAATAAACAGACATAAAAAGGATGGGAACAGAATAATACAATCAAATCTCTGATCCAGCTTGCTCAGTATTGTCTAATTTGTCAGCAGCTCTCTAGGATTTCAGATGCAAGATTTTATGTATTGTTTTTATTTATTTGTTCATTTTCTGTATTTCCTAGGGACCTAGGTTTATCAGGGTGATTGAACAGATTGACACTAAGGCATCCTATACTTGTACTATCATGGAAATGTGGGCTTTCTGGAGTGGAAAAACAGGAATAAGAAAATATGATAGAGAAAGAGAAACTCTTAACTTTAAAAACAATTAATTATTGAATAATAAATATGCTTGCCATGAGGCTCATTCTGAAGAGTGGGTAGAATATCTTTGTGCCTTATCAGAGTACAGTGGCTGATAGTGTTATATGCTGGGGAGAGGAAACTGCACCTATATTTAGTGGACGTGCTTAAATGAAATATGTTTCTCATCTTTCCCCCCCAGTCTGCTGGAAACCATGTTTCACTACACTGATGAACCCAGATTTACCATAGAGCAAATAGATCTACTTCAACGCCTGCGGCGTACTGGTATGACACGGCACGAAATCCTCCATGCTTTGGAAACCTTTGACCGTCTTGACCAGGAACACAGTGACAAGTTTGGGCGGCGCTCTGCCTATGGGAGTGGATCCTGTAGTAACAGCACCAACAATGTTCCAGCGTCTTCCTCTACAGCCACAGCTTCCACACAGACCCAGCATTCTGGGATGTCCCCATCTCCTAGCAACAGTTATGATACCTCCCCACAACCTTGCACTACCAATCAAAATGGGAGGGAGAGTAACGAGAGGCTGTCTGCCTTCAATGGGAAGATGTCACCTACACGTTACCCTCTGGCAAATAGCATGGCTCAAAGGTCATATAGCTTTGAAGCCTCTGAGGAGGACTTGGATGTAGATGATAAAGTAGAAGAATTGATGAGGTAGGCAAAGTTGTATATTATGGATAAAAAAATTACCCATTCCCAGCTTCTTTTTCTTCCTGTTCCCTGCAAAAACACTTCAGAGCGTTGGATAGTTCTGAATTGATTTGTTTATTTTCCCAGATCAAAACTTAATTGTCTTAGCCAGTTGAAGGGAGATCTTAGATCTTTATTCATCTGGTGCATTCTTCACAGCCTTAGTTTGGATTTGGATGATTATCTAATGCAAAAACTGACTTGGTGAAACTACCAATGAGTGACACTTCTGACATGGCAACTGGTCATTTAAACTTTTGAATGCATTGCTTAGGTGCAGAAAGGCTCAAGCATAACAGTTTCCTCAACCTAGTGGCTTTTAAGCATCCTCTGTTACAGACATATCAAACTCGTGATGTCGTGCAACGTACCGGGAGAGTTTTGCCATTGCCGGCAATAGGGTGGGCGTGGCTTCCAGATGATGTGTCCGGCCCGTGGGCCGGCAGTTTGACACTGCTGCTCTATTAGAATAGGTCAAGAAAAGCTGTTGTGGGGATCTTTTTTGGTTTAATGAAGAAAATAGATACTTAAAAATAAAATTCTGATTCCAAGCACTGGGCTTGGAAGACAGTGGCTTTGTGGAGTTCAGCAGAATATAGGCCAGGACTGAATGTGAGTTTTTAAAAGGCCCAATGTGCATATATTATTATATAAGCAAATAATCAGACATACTTAAGAAAAAAGCCCACATGTATGAGTCAGCCATAAAATAATATGTATTTCCTATAATTATGCAAACCCCAAAATTGAACTCAGCAAATATATATAAATTATCCAGAGTATCATATTTATGTACCTTAAAAGATATTTTACATGGTTTATCTGATTTTGCCAGAATAAAGAGAAACAAAGAATTGAGGAAGATAACACTCAAATTTAGAATTACTTTTAAGATAACTGAAAGTACTACTGAAGTATGGTTTTTACTCAGTTATAAAGAATGGAAATTTAAAGAATTCTGATGTGCACAGAGTTATGGATATGACTTTTACTCTTTGGCCATGCAATGTTGGAACAGCAGATTTATATATCTATTGGCTGCTTCACCATATCAGTTACTAAAATTTTGGTCTGTTACCTCTTCTGTTTATTACTCAGCAAAGCATGTTTTCTACCCAGTGTCCATTCTCACAAATCCATTATAATTATTGTTTCATAGTGAATATTGTTTCCTATCATTAAGAAAATGAACGGTTACAGTGATAATTAGGGTAGATTTAATAGTCTAGTGCAGATAGATTTATGAGGAGTAATTATGAAATAGCCAATTCTGTCTTCCTGACCTGTCTGTGGAGTTTCTTGCTCCATTTTGCTTCTCACTCCTACAGACACCCATGCATACAGATCAGCTTTAAGTTCAGTTTTGCACTGATGTGTGCAATGCATATTCTTTAGTTCCCCTTAGTGAATTTCAGGGAGACCGTTAACTGAGTGATGAACATATGTTGGTTATAGAAAAGTGCCGATTGCAATGCCACAGATCTCCACACCAAAATAAAGAATATTTTAGTTAAACAGAGGTAGAAACTTCGTTATTGGAATACCTGGAGAACTACTGTGAGCTTGATTTGGGCTGGACAGAATAATACTCTTATTTCATACAAAACAGCTTTAGGCATTCCACACCAAGTGGAAGATGGGGTAGAATCACTCTATATGTAACACCAGAAACATTCAAATTGTCCCTACTTCTAATACATTTAATAAATAAAACAAAGTAAACTCTCCCTTAATAATTGTGGCAATTTGCTTCAGGTACACTATGTGGTTCTTAAATCTAGGTGTTAATGTGGTTTGCTCTGATTTCTTTCTTTTTAGCAATATTTCCTTTGTGGGAGTCTCATTTAATGATAGAAATTGTTACTGCTGCTGTTTCCCTTCCTCCCACCCCCAAAATGTTAGTTGCAGAGATTTATTCATCCCCTGTAATGAAACTTTGTACATTCCATATGGCTTGCATGAATTTATACAGACTGTGAGTCATCCATTTTCCTTGTATGCTTTGATCCACCAGTGACACTGATTAAAAGAAATGTCTGCTGGCAAGGGCAATATATCAACCCCCTCCCCATCATTCTCCACAAATGCATCTTCAAATTCTACTTTGGTCCTCTTTCTCTCTCTCTCTCTCTCTTCTCTTTTTATTTTTCCAACCCCACTCATTTTGATAGGAGGGACAGCAGCGTGATAAAAGAGGAAATCAAAGCCTTCCTGGCCAACCGGAGGATTTCGCAAGCAGTTGTTGCACAGGTTACAGGTAAGAGCTTGAAAATGTCCCCTTTTCTATTCTGAAGTGTTGCTACATCATCTTGCTCATTTGCTGGCTAGTGCAGGTGTTGGCATATTGCGTGGCTTTCTGCATTGCAGTACCTACCTGTCAGGGTAGATATAATATATGCCTTTGATTTAATATCCATTGTCATACATGTCATGAAACTTCCTCAGTGAATCAGTGTTTTTATTCTCCTTCTCTCATCCTGCCTAATTTTTCCTCAGCTTCAATGGCTCATGCTAGCAGGATTTTTCCCCTATAATATTGTAATGAGTATCAAATGCTTTTGAAATGGCTTTTTAAAAAATTCTAAAAATCACATGTGGTGATCTTGTTTCAGTGCAAAAAAAATGCAACCTTTGGACTAACCGATTTAGGGAAGACACTACCTCAGTTCTCAGGATATTTACCTGGAAAAGTTTTTAATTATACTTGGTATATTACATCCATAATTTGACCTTTCTACTTAAGCTATGTGGGTAATACTACTCCCGCACATTCTTGGTTTCTCATTGCTTACCTTTTACAAATAATCCCCTGTTTAAGAATGAATTCTGTTCCCAAGGCCTGTTCTTAAGTTGAATTTGTATTTAACCAGAACAATATTATTGTATAATACTATGTAAGTGAATATTGTGTAATGAACTTAAATTATTGTGTATTTAACTTGAATCATTATCTATTTAACTTAAATTTTGCTACAGTAGGTTGCAGCCTTAAATCAGTGTGTTCTTACCCAGCAACTTGCTCTGTTTGTAATAATCATATATAATAAAGATGCCATACAAATAACAATATGCAGACATAAGTAGTAATTTTATAAGTATATTTATATTCCACCTTTTATTCTAGGATTTTAAGCTAGCATACATAGTTCTTTCTTGCACCTCATTTTTGTCATAATTCCTATCTAAAGTAGGCTGATGTAATGACTATCTAAAATTAACCTAATAAGTTTCCTGACTTTGCAGGAATTTGAATATTCTCAGTCTTAATACAACATTCTAACAATGTGAAACTTGGTTCTCCAAGCGGAGATTCTTTACTCTTTAAATAAACTGGTAGCCATTTATAAAAACACATTTATTTATTTATTTATTTATTTATTTATTTATTTATTTATGAGACTTATAGACCGCTTTATATTCAGTTCAAAACTTCAGGAAGAGGAGAGAACAACTCCGTGCATCAGAGGCATTACTCAGTTGAGTACATGTTTTAAATTCAGATTTAAAGTCCAGTTCAATTTCCTGTACATCTAATTTAAAAGTAGCAGTGCTAGAAAAACCTCTCCCAATTAATGTAGGTGATACTGGTCTACATGGATCAGTAATCTGATTTAGTAAATCCGTCACTTACTTTGCTATTGATAGTGTTTATGTTTTGAGGAATCTCAGAAGAAGGTGTAATCCAAGAATTATCTCTAGTTGCCTTTGCTTGATTTTGTTGCATGGTTAGTTCAAAAGCTGACATAGTATAAAACAAGTCAGAGAGCTTTGGTGACTAGTAGTTGGAGAGATTGAAATGAGATTGTTGCTTAGAATTTTGATGACTGTTCATTTAATAATGGTTCAAAGTTGCAATGGCCTTGGAAAAAAATGACTTATAATCCATCTTCAAAGTGATGACCATCATACCACCCCTGCAATTACAAGGTTGAATGCAGGCACTTGGCAACTGGCTTGCATTATTGCAATTTGCAACCTTCCCAACCAGCTTCTGACAAGCAAAGTTAATTGGGGAAGTCAGATTCATTTAAAAAGTACATGAGTCACTTAACAACTGTGTGATGCATTTAACAACTGTGGTGAAAGTGGTCACAAAATCATGTCTGGCTACATGATGACTTGCTTAATGACTGCATTGCTTAACGATCGAAATTGCATCCCAATTGTCTAAATCGAGGATTATCTATAGGCAATCTGCTACTTTATTAGAATGACTCCCCAAATATCAGTGGTTAACGTAGCTAGGCTTATATTGAATATGGCCCATTAGCATTCCTTTTATGGCCCAGAGAGGCCAAAAAATTGTCCCAATTGTTCATTTTTGGAGGAATTGGGAAGATTTTAAAGAGAAATTGTATGCTTTAAACCTTACAGAATTAAGGATTAACATCTGTAGGACACAGAAATAAATTCATAGGTATGTGTCAGGTATGTAGATATATGTATAATGTTCATGATATATGCCTTGTGAAGACAAGAAGTTGTTAAGAGATAATTACTTATGAACAGTTGTGAATTTCAAATTTCCTTTTTCAAAGTAGTTGAGGATTGTACTGGTTTCCTTTACTCCAATTTCTTCACTTTTATTTCTTCCAGATCTCTCATTAACATCTGAAATGTTACAGAAAAAGAATAGCTGATACTATAGTAACTTAAAAATCTGGTTGGTGTTCTTCTCCAACAGCTTCCAGGATAATTTAGAAATCTTCAATTGAAATAATGAAGCAGCGCCACCATAGTTAGGGGAATAAACATGTGAGTACAGGTAGTCCTCAACTTACAACAGTTCATTTGGTGACTGTTCAGAGTTACAGTGGCACTGAAAAAAGTTTTCACACACTTGGAGCCTCCCCATGGTCACCTGATCAAAATTCAGATACTTGGCAATTGGTTCGTAGTTACGATGGTTGCAGTGTCCTGGGGTCATGTGATCATCTCTTGTAACCTGACAAGCAAAGTCAATGGAGAAGCCAAATTCACTTAACAACTGTGTTACTAATTTAAGAACTGCAATGATTCAATTAATGACTGTTGCAAGAAAGAGCATAAAATGGGGCAAAACTCACTTAACAAATGTCTCACTTAGCAACATAAATGTTAGGCTCAACTGTGATTGTAACTTGAGGATTTACCTGTACTAACAAGCATTCAAGCTGGATGTGTGCAGGATCTCCAACAACTTCTTGTCTTCCATTGAAACTACGATGGGGTTGATTCAGGATCAGAGCTGCTATATTTCTGTACCCAGTGAAAGAAAGAACCAAACAAACGTAGGATCCCTCTGCAAGTTGGGAAGTTGTTCCAGTAGGAAGATTCTGTGGTCTTGCAGCCAGGAGAAAGAGGCCTGCTAATCCTGAACTGCTTCAGTCACAGCAAATGCAAGGGATACTATTGCATTTTTAATGGATTATGTTTGTTTACTTAAAATCCTTTATATTCCAGTCTTGCTCAATAATAATAATGATGATGATGATAGAGTTGGAAGGGACCTTGTAGGTCATCTAGTCCAACCCCCTGCTCAGGCAGGAAATCCTATACCATTTCAGACAAATGGCTGTCCAGTCTCTTCTTAGAAACTTCCAGTGTTGGAGCATTCACAACTTATGGAGGCAGATTGTTCTACTGATTAAAATCCATAATGTAGGGTAACACATAGGAAAACTCACCCAACTAGGTCATAGGGCTCCCAAAACTAAATGCAGGCAATGAAGGAGATAAATACAGGTAGTCCTCAATTTACAATGGTTCATTTAGTGACCATTCAAAGTTACAACAAAAAGTGACTTATGTCTGTTTTTCAGTTAGAACTTTTGTAGCATCTCCATGATCATATGATCAAAATTCAAATGCTTGGTATTGGTTCACACTTACGACCATTGCTGTGTCCCAAGGTTATGTGAACATTTTTTGCGACCTTCTGACAAGCAGAGTCAATGGGGAAGCCAGATTCACTTAACAACCAGGTTAATAACTTATCAATTACAGTGATTCACTTAACAACTGTGGTAAGAAGAGTTGTAAAATAGGGCAATACTCACTTAGCAAATATCTCACTTAACAACAGAAATTTTGGGGTCAATTATGGTCGTACGTCAAGAACTACCTGTACAGTGTATATATATATATATATAGAGAAAGAATCTATAATCTACTAGACTTTAGTCAATTGCCTCTCCCAGGATCTTTCATAATAATCCCTGCTTTAACTGCTAGAAATTGTTATTCACCATCAATTGGAGGACGATAGATTCCTTATCCCTGGAATATAGGATTCAATCTAAGATTCAGAAGAATGACCCATAATAGGCTAACAGTATTTCCATGCCTGAAAATGGCCTAGATGCCAGCTATGGTAGTTGCAACTGATCTTCCTCACACAATGTAGTAATATATATCCAGAGTGATTTCTGCAAAAATGCAGAGTACTCAGATAATCTTTGAAACTTTCACTTTTGAAACCTTGTAGCTTATTTTGGTTATACGTTGCTCTTTGAACTTGTGATATAAGTGTGTAGAATATTTTTAATGTGCGTTCCTTGCTGTTCAGAAGAAGATAATGTTCAGTTAGGCCATAATTAGTGCCCTGTTTCCTATGTGCCAATCATATAAGTAAATAATAAGCAGACTGTTTTCAGAAGTGAAGGCTTTATTGTTATATTCAAATTATTAAACACTTGAAGGTAGACATTTAGGCATTCCTAGTCAAATTTAATATTTCAGTGAATACCCAAGTGAACAGAAGCTGACACTTCCTATACATGGGGCATAGTTAAACACAACGTCTTTTGGCAGATTTAAATGCATATTTATTATTTATGTGCAATTGTTGCAGATTCATAATACGAAAGTTATGTGCAGAAGCTTGAACAGCTATTTAGTCAATGCTTTGTAATGCCTCTTTTGGCAAAACAAGTTTCCAAATACTGTATTACTTTTGGTCATTAAGATCCTTTCTATTCTTGCTTTGGAATTTTTGCCCCTCTTCCTTGGAGAGCTCTTCTAACTAAGAAATATTCCTAAGTCTCTTCCCTTTTTCAATAACAATCAGCTGTGGGGACTGCAAAGACCATTTCAAGGCCCTTATCTTTCTTTCCTTTAAGTAGTTTATGGTTGCTTTGGAGGCATGTTTTGTTGCCTTGGTGAAATATCCACCCTCTTTTTGTCTTCAGTTTCTTCACTGACTTAAATGCTTCATCTCTTTTTCTCTAAATGTATCTTGTATAGTTGTGGTCAAACAATTCAATCTTTGTTTTATCA